CGAATTCAGTACTTCCACTATTTTGAAGTCGATGGAAAACGTACGTATAGACAAGCAAACTTTATTATTAGCTCTCCCCTAACTTTATTTACATTGTATTTTAGTTGCCATATTGACAGAATCTGTCAATGTTGTGTTATAATTCATGATTTATGACGGTTCGTTCTTGTCGCTTGCTGATTTGTAGCGGTAATTGCTCGTTAGAAGCGGACAGTGGTAGTAAAACTGTACAGTGTACAGTGGCCGTGAAAGTGGTAGAGTTGGAGTTTCAAAAATCGATTTTAATTGTGGCCTAATTTGTAAATTTTGATTTGGAAACTAAACTACTGAGCCGATTTTGATACAATTTCTATGGCACCAATATGCTTTTAGATGAAGAAAGAATTTTCCAAATCGGTTTACACTTAACAGAGGTAACAAACATAAAAGTCTTGAGTGGCGACCGCATACGGGAATACTCAGTGTAGGACGACCCCCCACTAGATAGAGTGACGACCTGCAATGCGTTGCAGAGTCAGTGGATGCAGGTGGCTCAGGACCGTTCTTTATAGCAATCTATGGGGGGAGTCTTATGTCCAGCAGTTTAATTATATAATTTTTCTTTAATATACAGTCAGAAGTCTTAATTTTTTCTAACTTTTTTTTTATTCTTAATTATTATAAAATTTTTCTTTTTTTTTTAATGGTTATACAGTTTTCTCAAATAATGTGCTTTTCTCAAAAAAATGTTTTATTAACTTCTGAGCATTATTATTGACAATGTTGCTGTAGTTTTCAATAGTATTTGTTTGTTTAATTTTGTTTATATTTTTTGTTTAATTTTGTTTAATTTTAGTATTGTCTAATTTTGTGTTTCGTTTACTTGTATGTTATTTTGTGCAAATTCTAGTGGCTACCAAATTACTATTTAAGTATATAATTATGTATTGTTTTAGCCGTTTGTTTGCCTTAAATAAATAAATAAATAAACACTGGCAGAAATGATGATGATGATGAAACTTAGAAAAAATACGACCGAATTTTTGCTCTTAACCATTATTATCTCAGCCATTACTTATCCACTACTGAACTTAGGCCTCCCCCAAAAACTGCCATAAGGAACAGTCCTGAGCCACCTACATCCACTAACACCCTACAACGCATTCGAGGTCATCACTCCATCTAGAGGCGGGTCGTCGTCCTACACTGCTTCAAACGTAGTAGATTGAAATTAAAAAAAAAAAGAACTAATATTTATACAAAATTTATGAAGCGTTCCGTACATCTCTAACACCAATTAGCAATACAGTACGTATGTCTGTCTATTTTAAACGTACTAAGGCACATTTGTTGCGCATACCAGTGGATATTTAGCGGATGATTAACAGGCAAACTGTACCACTAATTGGTGGCCAATTATAAGTGTCATCTAATGAGAGTAATGGCCGCCCTTTATGTCCCGTCAAAGATTTATTTGACACGTCCCATGCGCCGGTTATGCTTGATTGATTAAGTAAATTATTATTTTTTTATAGTCGCAAACAGGCGCACGGCTCGTTTGATGGTAAACAAGATTTCCGTAGTTTGTAACATCGGGCAAGTCACATGTTACAAAAGTCATTTGCTTTTGCGTGTTTCAACCGTAAGGCAGTTGTTTGCATGGCTGTGTTTCGGTTTTAAGGGTGGGATATGACAGTGAATTTACAGGGTACAGAGGAATAACATCTGAGTCCTCAGGAATGGCAACGTATGTGGGGTATCATGGGCGAAACAGTATTATATATATACTCTGTTACGTCCATGGTACTGCTCATGTCTATGGGCGAGGGTTACCACTTTCCATCAGGTGGGCCGTCAGCTTGTTTGCCATTCTAAGCTGTATAAAAAAAAACAGTAACATTTATGTGTATATGTAATATGTGAATTTTTTATGTATTAGGTATGTATAATTATTTCTATGTGTTACCATAATTATGTCACATATTTTTCATCACATCTGCCCTTCATACGCTTTCTGTTTTCACCTAATGGTTAGCTAGTAGAGTATGCCATATAGCATTAAGCTTCCCACTTGTACAAAGTTTTATTGTGCAATAAATGAATAAATTAATGAAAAAAAATTTTTTTTTCAAATTAGTTTACAACTGACTAACTGAATATTTTATTTTACAACACAGGGGGCAAACGAGCATGCGACTCACCTGATGGTAAGTGACTACCGCCGCCCATGATCACCCGCAACACCTACAGCATTGCAGGTGTGCTGTCGGCCTCTTAAAAAGGAATATGCTCTTTTCTTGGCAGTTATGATGTCGTATCGATTCGGAAATACTGCTACTGGAAGTTGATTCCAAAGAGTGGTTGTGCGTGGGAGAAAGTGCCTTGAAAAACGCACGGTGGAGGACCGTGAGGTATGAGGTATATGAGGTAAAAGAACAAAGAAAAAATACAACCTAATTGGAAACCTCTTTCTTTTTGAAGTCAATCGGAAAGACTAAATCTATTGTATAAGTAGATAGGTATTATATTTATTTATAGTATATGTATTTATGTAATATTTTATTATATATTTTAATATTTTATTTAACTGTATATTTGTTTATGTACTCTAAATATTAATAGTTGTAGCACTTCAGCTGCCCGCTAACAACATGCTTCCCAAATATATTGGGTTGACTGGAAGAGATCTCTGTCAGAGATAAGTCCACCCTTGCTCACAACATTTACAAATGCATTTACAAATGCATTAACAATGTAATTTACAAGTGCAATAAAGAATATATATAAAAAGCGAGAGTTATCATTGATTAAGTGAACAAATCCGCAGCGAAGGACTAGTTTCACAGTTCATTCCGAACATGTCACAGTGAAGTATACGTCAAAGCGAACGGGAATAGATCAAACGAACATATAACCGTTTAGCGGTTAGCAAAAACAATTAGCGAGGGTAGAAGATTCGATTCCTGGTAGCGCACATTTGAATCATTACACGCTGATTTATGACGTTTGTGAATTAGTTGCTTTAATTGGTCGAAAATAATCTTAATAAAATAAATAAATAAAAACTATTACAAGGAAGCTTTATAAATTCGATAGAACCCAAAATTGGATTTTAGAATTTTTGTCTTTTCTTTTTTATACTACTTAGAATGGCAAACAAGCTGACGGCCCACCTGATGGAAAGTGGTAACCGTCACCTATAGACATGAGCAGTACCATGGACATAACAGAGTATACTGTTTCGCCCATGATACCCCCCATGCGTTGCCATTCCTGAGGACTCAGGTATTATTCCTTTGTACCCAGTAAATTCACGCCATATCCCACCCATGCAAACGCAGCTGCTTCACGGTTATAACACGAATGGGATAGAGGTATCCAAGCAATCGACTTTTGTACAAAATCGCCCTCTGGTATATGTCTGATTGCCGGTAGGTATGTTTGTGCGCGCTAATCTCAGAAATGGCCTTACCGATTTTAATGTAGTTTTCAATAATGCGTTGCAATTTGCTCCACTTAACATTCAGTGTTTGTTTTTTTTTTCAATCGGTTCATAAATAAAAAAATTATATCAATCTAAAGGATCACATGTAAAATGCTATAAAACAACCGATCAGTTGAATTGGCTGAAACTTTATGAAGCTATTAGGTACGTAATTATCGTTTAAGTATGTAATACAATATGAGACCGGATTCGTGAAGAGTTCCAATGGGAATGATATAGGGAAACTACGTGGCTAGGAGCGGACAACGCCGCGGGAAACGGCTAGTTTTATTTATTTATTTATTTATTCTCTTTGTTATTGTTGTATCAGCCTATAACTACAATGGTGGACATAGACACCCCCCATGAAGAGGTTTTGCCAGTTCTCACCATGCTTGGCAGGAAGGTTAGCAACCGCAGTTAGGCTTTACCAGAGGGAGACTTTGTACAAAAATCGATTGTTTGTGTACCTCTGTCCCATTCGTGTTTCTACCGTGAAGCAGTTGTGTTTGCATGGCCGTGTTTCAGTTTGAAGGGTAGGATATGGCGTGAATTTACTGAGTACGGAGGAATAACACCTGAATCCTCAGGAATGGCAACGCATGGGGGGTATCATGGGCGAAACAGTATACTCTGTTATGTCCATGGTACTGCTCATGTCTATAGGCGACGGTTACCACTTTCCATCAGGTGGGCCGTCAGCTTGTTTGCCATTCTAAGTTGTATAAAAAAAAGGCTTTCGGTTATGTTTTAAGAGGGACGCTAATGCTCATTCCTCCACCATAAACTTCCCTTATGCCGAGACTTACACAGATATTATTAGTCTCTTCATTTCACCAAAAAACATAAAAATATACGACGACAATTGGAAAATTTAAATTGTATTTTTATACCATGAAGGTGGCAAAAAAGCATGCAGCCCGTCTGATGGTAAACGGTCACTGTAGCCTATGGACGCCTGCGACACTGGGGGTGTCACGTGCGCGTTACCGATCCTGAAGAAACCTTAATACACCCTTTTTGAAGAACTCCATACTGTAGTCTGTAGGGAAAACCTCGGCAGGGAGCTCATTCCTTAACGGCTTAACCGATCACTATGAAATTTGGTATACATATATTATATGAGATGGAGAAGGATATAGGGTACTTTTAACTCCAGTCAGTGAACATATCCCGGTCACCCAGACGAAGTCGCGGGTAAAAGCTACTATTAATACTAGTATATAATATGTTAACATTTCGCCCAGCCCGCATATGCATTTAATTAATGAATTAAATGAATATAAATGTAATAAATTAATATTTGATATCAGCTTTAATCAAGCGTCGCTACTATTGGTAAACCGCTTCAATAGCCCCCTATATAGGCTTATGTTCAGCAGTGGACAGTAAATTTCTACCTAAATGTATCGTATTGTGCGTGAGTTATTTGTATTATTGTTAATCAGGTGATTAATTAACTCGGGAAAATCCGAAGAGTAAATTAAAATTAATTAAATGAAAATAAAACAACAACTTAAATTATCGTAACCAATTATATTTTATAATATTCTTTATTATACTAATTTGTTGTTCTTGTTTTTACAATTACACCTAGCACAGTCACAATTATAATTTTCAATAAATATATACATACAAATAAGAAGAATGGAAGATAATATATGACTAATGAAATTTGTAACAGAAATTAATTAAAATGTATTTACATCAACATAAATAGATTAATTTACCCAAAAACTAATTAAAAATCTTTTACTTTACATTATTTACAACATTTAATCTTATTTTCTGATTAAATTTTATGTTTTAATTATTATTTAATGACCACAATTTATCTTATTTTCTCACATTAATTATTGTTTATTTAATATTTTGTAATTCAAATAAATTAAGACTTATTTCGAATTACATACATTGAATTTCTAACCCAAATTCTAAAGCAGCGTTCTGTACAATTAATGAAAGACTCTTTATTTTATAATCTATGGTTTACTACAGATGGTGCCGGTTCTGAAGTGCCATACCCTATTTTAATATCTTATAACAAAATTATTATTCTAACGATCAATGTTAATCAAATTTATGATCAATTTAAATCTATTACAAATTGATTTTATTATCGTTAATTTATAACAGATTTAAAAAAAGTAATATTGTAAATTTCATGTAAAAATATGTATTTATAAATGAATTAATTTATTTATGAGTAAGAATTAATTAATTTTTCTGATATATTTTCGTTAAATTATCAATTTAAAATATTTAGAGATAGGCTTAGGCACTACAGTACTGACGCATTAGCTCATTCGTACCGCTTAAACTTTATTCTACATAGTTGGTTATCATATCGCATCGTTATACAATTAAAATTTATCATCTAACTGTAATTTCTTTTTTAAAATTAGAACTAGTAATTTTTAAATTTATTAAAACACCCAATAAACGAGAAAATAAATTATTTATGTCCACAAATATTAAACGTAATTTGATTAATTAATTAGTAATTTATTTGTATGTTTAAAAATATTAACCAAAATCCGATTTAATGTTAAAAATAAATACATTAAAACTAATTTATACTAAGTATATTACAAAAAAGGAACATTATATTTCTACCATCAGTGTGCTTTGACTATATAACATTTGTGTAATACCAGTGCTGGGCAAAGGTTGTTTAAATTAAATTCATACCATAGATATGATTGCCTATCGCAATTCTTTCTATATTCTCAACCAACTTCAAAAAAGAAGGAAGTTTTCAATACTGTTGTATTTTTTTATGGTAATTACCATGGTAATATCTCCAACAAAATATCTAGTTTTGCTAGAATTAAAGTCGATTTCTTTTTGTGAAACACAATCTTAAATTACCAGATGTTCTTGATCATAGATTATATTTATTGACTGTTAAACATAGTCTATGGTCAATAATATTGATGCCAATTATTGTACTAATTTTCCATTAACACTTACTTCCACCATTAGCCATACAAAATCTATAATTTAGTTGTTGTCGAGGCTTATTATATATTTTTTCAATTTGTTTGGTCTAACATAGATATAATAATGATAGATAGAACATAGATGTAAGTCACATATAACTACACATTTGTTGTCGCATATTTGATAAAAATAAAATGTCTATTTTTTCTTTCTTTCTTACATGATTACAAACTGACTTGTTTTGTCTATGATGTAAATTGTAAAACTGTCATATTTTAAGCCCTCATAACAAGCTCCTTGATCTACTAAATTAACATTTGCACCAAAAATGTAACCAACAATTATATTTACATAATTATTACTAATAATTTCATAATTCAATTTAAATATATGAATATTAAGTAGTTTGACTCCATTAATCAATTTTTCTTCAAACTTCAGTAATTCAACTGTGACTGTTGTTGTGATTACCAAAGCTTTTCCTATAGATTTTTACTTTAATGAAGCAGGACTTGTTCTGAAGGGTAAAACAGCCAGGGCAATCTCTGATATGAGAGGCATACTTCAGTCCTAAGAGGCAACAATGTGCCAAGAGTGACACTCGACAACTGTATTCTGCATGTAATATGCGACTAAACCCATAGAAAAACATTAGTAAAATAAAATTTACAGATTCAACAAAACATTTGATCGTTTACAATTATTAGATTAATTTCCAACTTCAAAAATCTCACCTACTACTTTTTACTTTTTACAGTAAAAAAATAATAATAAAACTGGAAAAATCTTAGCTGTCGCCTGCACTGTACTACAACGTGTAGATTTGAATAATTATTATTTATATTTGCATTACTCACGTATTAACCTCGGCTTGACTTTTTTCAGGCTCGATAGAAGCCCTTATTTATGAGCGCGGCTCACGACTGTATCCCGAGCGTAACAGTTGAATACGTAAGTAAAGCCAATATAAAAATTATAATACTGTATGACTTGTAACATATTTCATCACTTATGTTAAAATTTCACATAATTAATTTACTTCTATACAAACAGTCAACTCTCATAGATCTCAACTTGGAGAACACAAAAGAACAGATTCTTCCTTCATCTACGTTACATTGATTTCTTCTTCTTCATCACTTTCTGTTGCTGTGCTGTGGTTGTACAGGCCCTGCGCCATCAGCTGCAAGGCGAGCGGGTTCCGCTGACCGGACGCTTTCTTAATCTTGGCGCGCTTGTTCTGGAACCAGATCTTGATCTGGGCCTCCGCGAGCCCCAGCTCTGCGGCCAGCGATTGCCGCCGCCGCTCCGTCAGGTAACGGTTCTCGGCGAACTCGTGCTGTTGAGGAAATACTAAAGTTAAACTAAGGTCTGATGAAATTCAGACATGATGGATCTTGCTGACAGTTGTATATTGGTAATAGCTTCGTCATTTTACTCCATTTTATAACCAGAATGCAAGAGACGAGAGAACTAAGCACAAAACTACTGTATGATATGAACTGTTAAAGAAATGTCACAGTTAGCCTGTTTCACCCTATGCGTTACCCTATTTTAGTTATTGAATTATTTTCTCTTTCTTTTATGCTAAATTACTAATTTGAAAAAAAGTGACAAAACAGTCTAATAGTTAAAATAGGTTTTTATAAAGTTTTAATTTTTGATTTAGGTTAGAAAAGATGATGTTAAAAAATAATTAAGTGACATGTTCCTGAGTGTAATATACGTATAAAGAAGCTGAAGTCCACCTGATGGAAAGTGATAATTGCCTGCTTGCCTGCTGCCTGTAGACATGATCAGCACCCTAGATATTGGGCATATAATACACAGCGATGCCGTACCTTTCATGTGTTATAATCTCACTGCCATACGACTGTCAACTTTATCATTCTATTGTATTGTTGCATCAGTATGTAAAGGACGAGACAACAAAGCACAATACATTTCTGCATAATAGAATCGAAATAAATCCTCATACAAACTCTCCTAGTCTCTAATTAGGTTAACTGTGAACACACATTTTAAATTGTAACCTAACTCAAATATATTTAGTGACATAGTTATAATTTGTTTTATGTATCTTTTAAAAAAAAATAATCTATATTTCAAAATATATTTTTTAATCTACGAGTATATTAGTGGCTACTAACATAAAAATGTTTACTAAATATCAACTAAATGCCTAAATAGACTTGAATGATATTTGATAAATAAATAGATAAACCACATTCTAAATATCAAAATAAATTTATTTTAGTTTTAACCAATACAGACAATGTCGCGGACTAAATAGAAATAAAACAAACCTTTAATCTAGCAAGTTGCGCTGCACTAAATGCAGTCCTGGGTCTTTTCTCTTCTGTAGTCGCTTTCTTCTTTGTCCTTCTACTTCTTGGACCTACGAACAAAACAAAATATTTAGACATTGTTTAATAACAGTGGATGCTGGTAGTTCAAGATCGTTCCTTATGACAGTTTATGGGCCTATGTCCAGCAGTGGACGGATAATGGCTAAAATGATGACGCTGATGATGTTTAACAACTATTGTAACTAATTTTTTAAAGTTTTATTAACTATAAAAAAATCTATTAAATCAAATGTCGTGTAATATTAAAATTAAATTAAAATGTATTATAATGTAGTTGTATCTACCGTTACCTGTCCACTGCTGAATATGGGCTCTCCCATAAGGAGATTTTACCAGTAGTTGCCACGCTTGACAAGCGGGTTGCTAACCGCAGTTAGGCTTTTAAAGGGGGACGCTGCTGCCCATCCTTCCACCATAAGTCCCAATAGTCGCCTCTTACGACACCCACGGTAAAGAAAGACGTGGCCTATTCCATGCCGAGACCTACAAGACTAATAATATATATATACTATTCTATAATAGAAATGGAAAATAAAATAACTATTTTAACCCCCCCCCCCCCCCCCCAATGAAGAGCTAAATCCATATCGATACAACAAAAGTAATCCACTAAACTTATTAACGTACCAAAAAGGGGTAACATGCTATTAAACATGTGTAGTGAGTAAATAATACTATGTTTTTAATTAAACAGAATACGGGCTGTTATTTACGTAATTGAACAACGGAACTTTACCAAAATATAACAACTCAAATGTAATTAGTTACACCACAGTCCAACCTATAGTTTCGTCTCAATTATCATTAAATTATAAAACCCTTTCAGTTCAATTAATTAATTAATAATTTTACATCATTTAATTAAAATTAATTTAATTATATTGTTGTTTACGAAATTGTGTAATGTAAATGTAAAATTAAATAAAAACTAATTAAAAATTAATTACAGTCCATTTATTATTTAATTCATTTTTCGACAATCGCATTTTGTATCGCATTCGAATTGCAGATAAATGCAAAATATACTTATACGACCTCTTTAACGTCAACTCATACAATTTTTTTTTATTTTGAAAAACAAAATTATGGAACAATTTTCGTCACGCGGACGGTTACACGCGAACGAAGTGGCCTAACCCAAGAATTCACTTTTTCAATTTAACAAAACACTTCGTGCTACATAATTCACACCCGGAATTGGCCACACCCACACTAATTAAGGGGGACCACATAATTGAGTAATATTTTTCGTTGGCCGACGCCATATTGTGATTCGTTACGTACCATGTTATAAGGGTAGGGTGACACGGAATTTCATGGTGTCTTAAGTATCCTTATGGTGGTATGATACATATTAGTCATAACGCGTGACTCGACTGAGTAGTAGAAAACAAATTATACATGTAGGCAGAAATAGGTAAGTATATTGGGGTCTTATTTGTTAGGGTGAGGTCATATTTTTCAACTGATTTCAAAAAGGAGATTCTCAATTCGAAATTTTAGAACGAAATAACTAGTTTTGTCACATTAAACAGTTTTCACAACAACCCAACGTAACTAATCCCATTGCTAGCAATATACCCAACCAGGTCGACCTCCTCGCGGTTCCCCCTGGAAACTATCATGGTTAATTCCTGATCATGATGGGCTAACTGGCCTGTTTTCATTCTCACCTATCACCCTTCACTGGTGCTCCGCCAGCGTATCCCGTTAGCGCAGGCGGGGTTACCATACCATTTTCACCCATAAAAAAAAACCAACGTAACTGCGTGTAATGTTTGACTATTTTTTATGCAAATTAAGTATTATGAATCGTTCTCACTAAATATTGTTTTCGGAAATTACTCTTTTAAATTATTCCGGCGAAACGGCACAAGAATAAATGGATACGTCCTTAAAATAATTTTATTTATAAATGTTTCTATTATATCTATCTATATCATTGTAACTGTCTACTGTTTGCCAGTAGTTGCCACGCTTGGCAGGCGGTTTGGCAACCGCAGTTAGTTTTTGGTGGTGTTATAAGACGGACGCTACTGCCCATCCCTCGACCAATAAGTTCCCTAAGTCGTCTCTTACGACACCTACGAGAAAGGATGGGGTGGTCCATTCTATGCCGGGACCATACGGCAATCGTGGATAATTACTGTTAAATTCGTCACCCCAACTAACCTACTTTCATCCTCGCCTTTCATCCCTCACTGACAACGCACTCGTGGTTACTATTCCATTTTCATCCCATAAATACAAAGTCCGTTAGCGCATTGCGTTATACAATGCATGGTAAATCACCATAATCTCACAGGATCGGTAGCATGCAACCGTTTCCCCATAAATCTGCTCTATCACCAAAGGAAAATAGTAAACATAAACACTTCTGTGGTTTCCTGTGTCCGATTTATTTTTCCTTTTTAAACGTCCACCTTAATATTTTAAACACTATTCTCTATGCAGTAACATTTATTTTCAAATGCATTCGACCGCGGCAGTTAGGTCATTCCGAATCCGTATCGCCTTTTAAAACTATTACAACCTCTGTGTCTACGGTTTAAAAAAGAAAATCGTTTGTACGTTCCATTTTTGAAATTGGAACTGTTTGTAGCAATGAATACTGGATTTTATCGCTTCAAGAATAGAACAGGAAATGGTGTGAACACAAATCTTTTGGAGTTTGAAAAATGCGAGGCGAATTACTTTTGCGTGCGTTGCGAAAGAGACCTTTACGAGTAAAAGATAAGGTCTACATTCGAGTGGGGGGGGGGGGGATTCATTGAACAGCGCCACCGTACATCACCCGATAAAACAGCAGTAACCTTTTTATTCGTGTTTTTAATTAAACAAAACTGCCGGCAAAACGCTTGCCAGGGAATTTTTCGTAACAAGCCATAATGCTTCGGGTGGTGGCTGGAAAAATATCGCTTCCCTTGCCACCTTCTATTTTTTCAGCACACCGATTATAAAATATCTATGGTCTGAAATGTTTCGAGTTGGTTATTTAAAAAGGATTAATTTAAAAACCTTAGACTAACTGTAATGTACAGTAGAAACTCGATTATTCGAATCAAATAATACCCCTGGTATTGCGTATAATCGAAAATCCGGTTTGAAGGGTGCGATATGGCGTGAATTTACTGGGTAACAGAGGAATAACACCTGAGTCCTCAGGAATGGCAACGCATAGGGGATATCATGGGCGAAACAGTATACTCTGTTGTGGTCATAGTACTGCTCATGTCTAAAGGCGACGGTTACCACTTTCCATCAGGTGGGCCGTCAGCTTGTTTGCCATTCTAAGTTGTATAAAAAAAATTACCAATTTTTAATCTTTGTGATAGACTTCATATAAAAGTCCTTTGATTTTCAAAGGACTTTTATATGAAGTCTATCACTAATAATTTTTAATCATCATTTATCATTATTAATTTAAACAAGCAATGCTGTATTATTACATAATCACACTTAATCCAACCTCAAAGGACTTTTATATGAAGTCTATCACAAATAATTTTTAATCATCATTTATCATTATTAATTTAAACAAGCAATGATGTATTATTACATAATCACACTTAATCTAACCAGTATTAAACAAAACAAATGAAACAAACAGAGACATGAGCCGTTAAAAGACATAATTCGCAAACAAATGCCCCCAAACTTTGAGGTATTAACATTCCAGCAACACCCTAACGGGGCATTACGTGGACAAACGAGGTTAATAATTTATTTACCGAGTACGAGATAAATTCATTGTGTTACTTAATTGGGGATGTTGCATTTAATGGGATGTCTGGTGAAGGATATTTGGACGATTTTAGAGGAATAACACCCGAGTCCTCAGGAATGGCAACGCATGGGGGGTATCATGTGCGAAACAGTATACTTTGTTATGTCCACGGTACTGCTCATGTCTATAGGCGACGGTTATCGCTTTTCATCAGGTGGGCCGTCAGCTTGTTTGACATTCTAAGTTGTATAAAAAAAATATAATTTATTAAAAAAAAAAAAAAACATATCATTACTGGCAACTGGTATACCGTGTTTTTTGAGTAAATAAATTATTATTTTTTTATTGTTAATCTTGTAAATGCTAAGTTCTTAATCTATGGTAAGCTACCTAACGTACTCTGTAACACATTACTTGTCAAACAACATTCTGTGTTACGAGTCGAGCCGGAATTGTGGATGCTCAAGACGGGTTCACGAAAGTGGACGAACTAAGATAGATACAGGATAGAGTTGTTTAAAAGCAGCTATTATAAGGAGGTACTTAATTAATTAATTAATTAATTCATTAGTACATATATGTGTACATGGCGGACTTAATGCTAAAAGCGTTCTCTCCCAGTCAACCGTAGGCAAGTGTCAGAATACTCGAATGTGGTACTACTAATTATTGATATACATACATACTAAAATTACATATATAAACGAATAAATATATATAAATAACAAGTATACTAACTCATATATAAAATATACTATACTAGCGACCCGGTTTCGCACGGGTGCACATTACATGTCATTACATTAGAAACCTCTAAAAATATCAGTGTTTCTCTACAATATTATGCATGTATTATACATATAAACCTTCCTCTTGAATCACTCTATTAAAAAAAACCGCTTCAAAATCCGTTGCGTAGTTTTAAAGATCTAAGCATACATAGGGACAGACAGACGGGAAGCGACTTTGTTTTATACTATGCAGTGATTATACTCGTACACGAAATTGAGAAAAATAAATATAAAATAACTTACAACTTACTAAAGTACTTACTAAGTAAGCCACGACACAGTTATTTTTAACTAATGTAGCTGTTATCGTACACTACCCTACAATTGTAATTTTTTTTTTTTATGGTTCCAATAAATACATTTTTACTTTTTTTTTTAAAGTACTTATTCAATTCATCTGATTTTTTACAACTACGCTATTACGTGGCCAATTTTTAGTTTCACATAAATTTTCAAATAACATCAAAAAGAAGGTGTTCAATTCGGTTGAACTTTTTTCTGTTTGTCACCT